ACAAAATTTAGAGTGAAAGCCCACTGTAATTTCATCCAAGGGGCCTTATTCGAGAAGGTTCTTGAAGTTGCTTAGGGCCTAATTCATCCAATTAGGGTTTTGATTGAGACCTAGCAGCTTAGCTATTTAAAGACCCCTAGGGCTACAGATTTCGGCACCTGAGAAACCCTAGAGTTACTATAGCCGAAATTGTGCCTCCTCCTCTCTCTCTTCTAGATCATCTTCTTGCTTTGGTGTTTGTAAGCCATTAGAGGTCTTACACTTGTGATACTAAGCTCTTGAAGATTGAATATTCTTGCAACTATTGAAAGGTATCATCTACGTTGTTTTATTATAGATCTCGTTTTCATAGTATGCTAGATTAGGGTTTGCAAGCTTGGGATAAATTTGCATGTACAATAGAGAAACCTAGATCCAAAGCTTTAGGGTTTTGTATGTGCACATAGGATGTTCTTTTGCTCAAAACCCATCAGTGGTATCAGACCCTTGCTTGGTTTCTATTGTATTTGATTCATGTTGTATTTATTCATTGCTTAAAATCAAATTTTATGCCATCTCCTTGGCAGACTCGTCGAGCCCTATGAGGTACTCGACGAGTAGGATGAACTCGGCGAGTCCTATAAGGGGCTCGGCAAGTCGGGCTATCAAACAGACGGATTTTCGGGATTTTTTGCTTATTTTGACTTATGATAATTACCATAATTGTTTCTAATTAATAAAATACGAATTTTATTGATTCCTTATGATTATCTTTGTCAAAGTAAAAGATTTTGTCATCTAATTAGATAATTATTACCTTATTTGATAAATATTAATTATTTGAATTATTTGATCAATTATCTTGCATGAAATTGGATTAGGTCAAAATTAGACAATCACAAAAATTAATTGTTTAATTGTTTAATTGAGTTTTGATCTAGATAGTTTTGAAATGTTTCAAAGCTTTCGCTCAAGTTTTGGAATTTAAATTTTTGATTAAATGTTTAATTTTGAAATAATTAAATTCCAAACCTTAGAATTTTACAAGTTTAAAATTCACCCTATACTATTATAATATTATAAGAATAATTATTATATATGTATAAGATAAATGCTAGTCTTACCGTTAGTAGGCCTCATTCACGAAGACGATCTCTAAGGGGGGTATAAGGTTGCTGCCTATAAAATGGCAGTTTAATTGGTGTCCACTCTCACCCACCGCTTCCTTGATTGGTGGAGGGTCGTTAGTCGAACAGGTAGGATAGGGAAACTAATTCCTCATTAAAAGTATAATGATTATACAAAGTAACTAAATGTTTTTATAAAATTCCCATTCTTAGTTACTATAGGAAAAATGTAAAAAATGATGCTATTCAATGAAATTACACTTTGTACCCTTGCCAAGACGTTAGTGGAGCATGTGTGGTTAACCGGCACACTAATTTGGGTTTAGCAAAGGGGACTAAGGATGACTCAATGTTTGTCATAGATCAATGGAGTGTGTGTGGCTAACCGGCACATTGCTTAGGTGACTGTAACATTGAGGGAACCATGTACATTTGCATGGTTATTCATACCTTGTTTAGGATCCTCGGTATCCCAGTCACAAACCTGAAGGGCATATCGAGATTTAAACATGCCATTGAAAAGTTCAATGAATCTCAAAAGATCTAGGAGTTTTCAATACATTTAAAACTTAATTTCTTTTTCGTTTTTCATGGTGGAAATTAGCTATTCGTCATTCACTTACCTTCAAATTATTTGTTGTTTAGATTACGACATCCCTCTTCTAAATTGCAAATAATGTTGTTCGATCCTAGCCCTAATTTATCATTTGGGTGTTTAATTACGGATTCTTATCTAATCAAACTTTGTCTCTTTTCTTTTCAGATGCCTAACTCGAACAACAACAACGCTTCAGGCTCAACCTCTTCAGGCTCGTTCTCACTCATGAATTTTGTGGGAGGGTAATTTTCGATGGGACCAATTTCAATGATTGGATCCGCAATATTCAAATGGTTACCTGCTACGAGGACATAGAGTATGTCCTCGACAAGGAACTTAAGGAGGTGAATGTCAACACTGCCACTCCAGAGGAGATTGCTGCCTTTGAGGCCCACGAGCGAGATGTTACGAAAGTCCATTGCATCATGCTCGCAACTATGACTGCAGAACTCCAAAAGTCCTACGAGGACTACTATCCCTATGAGATGCATCAGGATTTACTGGACAGGTACCACCAGAGTGCCAGGCAGGAAAGATACAAGATCATCACTTCGATGATCACGACCAAGATGAGAGACGGAGAGTCTGTCACTGCTCATCTACAGAAAATGCAGAGATATGTCGACCGCCTGCTGAAGTTAAATGTTAACTTCGATGAAGAGCTGGCGATTGATATTATTCTTCACTCACTACCACCCTGCTTCAACCAGTTTCTCATGACCTACCACATGAATAAAGAGGAGGTCAGCTTGAGCAAGCTTCAAGGCTTGTTGATGACTGCTGAGAGCAACCTCAAGGATAAATCCGTTGCATCAAATCCCGGTACAGCTACCACCGTCTTGGCTATTAGGCAGGGGAGGGTAAGAAGAGGAAGGCTCCTTCTAAGAGCCACCACAAGGGAAAGTCTCATGATGGAACCTCTTCTAGTGGAACCAAGGCTGGTACCACTACACCCACCTCCAACCCAAAGGATGCAGAGTGCTACTACTGCCATGAGAAGGGGCATTGGAAACAAAGTTTCCTGAAGTATCTGTAAGACATCAAGGATGGAAATATAAAACCATCCTACGCAGGTACTTATACTATTCAATCTAATAACTCATCGCATGCTATTTCTTGGGTTCTTTATACAGGATGTGGTTTTAACATTTGTTCTTATTTGCAGGGGCTAAGAAGAAATATGGATGTGGAGCATGGGAAGATAAACCTGATCATGGGAAACAGAAGATTGTCGCCTGTCACCAAGATTGGAGTTTACTCTTTAGTGCTTAGTAGTAGGTTAGGACTAGAGTTGAATAATTATTGATATTCGCCAGAAATGGCAAGAAACATCATTTCTTTTCATGGTTTATATAAACAAGGATTTAGATTTTCGTTGGATAATGAAAAAGGTTCTATTAATGCTTTTCTTAATTGTGTTTTCTATTTTGAAGCATTGCCTTGTAATGGAATATATGAAACTGTGATGGTTGTAGACAATTTAGGAAATGATGTGTTGTATATCGATTCTTCCAATGATTTGGATAAAGCATGCTTGGGGCATTGTCTTCTTGGACATGTCAACAAGAAACGCATAGCCCAACTCCAAAACGATGGAGTGTTGGAGTCATTCGACTTTAGGGACGATGACGTGTGTGAGTCTTGTTTACTTGGAAAGATGACCAAGTCACCCTTCACTGGCTCTTGTGAAAAGGGTGAGGATTTATTGGATCTCATACACATATATGTGTGGGCCCTTTAGATCCACCACAAGGAATGTGAGCCGCTTCTATGTGACTTTTACTGATGATTATAGCAGATATGGCTATATCTACTTAATCAAGCACTATTCAGAAACTTTTGAAAAGTTCTAAGAGTTTAAGCGGGAAGTGGAGAATCAGTTGGGCAGAAAAATCAAGATGCTTCGATCTGATCGAGGTGGAGAGTACCTTAGTCTTGAATTCCATGACTACCTCAAGGAATGCGGAATCGTTTCGCATATGATGCCACCTAGGACACTGCAGTTGAATGGTGTAGCTGAGAGGCGTAATCGAACCTTGCTAGACATGGTTCGTTCCATGATGAGTCGTGCTTCACTACCTATATCATTCTGTGGGTATGCCTTAGAGACTGTCGCCCATATCCTTAACTTAGTCCCTAGAAAGAAGGTTGCCAAAACACCTCATGAGATGTGGACAGGGAAAGCTCCTTCATTGGCACATATCAAGGTTTGGGGTTGCGAGGCTTTCGTAAGACGAGAGACTCACGACAAGCTCGAAACTCATAGTGAGCGATGTATTTCCATCGACTACCCGCAGAAGTCCTTTGGATATCTCTTCTATAGACCGAGTGACAATGTTGTCTTCGTTGCGAGGAGAGGGGTTTTCCGAGATCGAGAACTCATAATCTAAGGAGATAGTGGGAGGCAAATCGATCTTGAAGAGATTTATGAATCGAACGATGAAGGAACCTCTAACACTGGCGCTTAACCTGAGGAGGAAAATCCTGTTGAAACGATTGGCGAGTCCTTACCTCTTAGACGTTCCAGTAGAGTTAGTGTTCCACATGCGTTATATGGTTTTCATATAACAAGTGAAGGTGATACGTTTATTAGTGATAGTACACTAATAAATTTGGATGAACCTAACAGCTACAAGGAAGCCATGGGAGGCCCGGAGTCTACAAAATGGAAAGAGGCTATGGACAGCGAGATTCAGTCCATGTATGACAACCAAGTCTGGGATTTAGTTGACAATGTGCCAGGTCGTAATACGTTCGGGTGCAAATGGATCTTCAAGAAGAAGACCGACATGGATGGGAAGGTACACACTTATAAGGCGCGATTGGTTGCGAAGGGCTTTACTCAAACTCCAAGAGTTGACTATGACGAGACCTTCTCACCAGTTGCGAAGATAAAGTCTATTAGGGTAATGCTAGCCATTGCTGCATTTCATGGGAAGTTGGCTGTGGATGTTTACATGAGTCAGCCAGAGGGTTTTGTTGATGGGAAGTTGGCTGAGGAAGTTTACATGAGTTAGCCAGAGGTTTTTGTCGATGCGAAGCATCCTAATAGAGTGTGTAGGCTTGAGAAATCCATTTATGGATTGAAACAGACATCTCGCATATAGAATCTTTGTTTCGATGAGAAAGTCAAAGAGTTTGGTTTTCTGCGAAGCGAGGATGAGTCATGTGTATATGTCAAAGCCAGTGGGAGTATAGTTAGCATTCTCGTATTGTATGTCGATGACATACTGCTCATAGGAAACGACATCCCGACCCTGAAGGAAGTTAAGTCCTGGCTTGGGAAGTGTTTCGCTATGAAGGACCTCGGAGAGGCTGCCTATATTCTGAGAATAAGGATAGTGAGAAACAGGAATAAGAGACTGATAGGACTTAGTCAGAATACTTACTTGGATAAAGTACTAAAGCGTTTTAGTATGGATAATTCTAAGAAAGGGGATTTACCAATCCAAAGCAACGCCAAATTGAGTAAGACTCAGAGCCCGAGTACAGAGACCGAAATAGTAGAGATGAGTCGAATACCTTACGCTTCCGCAGTTGGCTCAATCATGTATGCTATGACTTGTACTCGCCCTGATGTGGCCTTCGCTTTGAGCATGGTCAGCAGATATCAAGGGAACCCTGGCAGAGCACATTGGACCGTAGTCAAGAATATTTTTAAGTACCTTCGGAGGACCAAGGAGTGGTTTCTAGTCCTCGGTGGGAGTGATGACTTAAGGGTGCGAGGGTATAGTGACGCCAGTTTTCAGACAGACCGAGATAATTATCGATCTCAGTCAGGCTGGGTCTTTACCCTAAATGGAGGAGCAGTGACTTGGAAAAGTTCCAAGCAGGAGACCGTAGCTGATTCAATGTGTGAATCAGAGTATATAGTGGCGAGCGAAGCGTCAAAGGAGGCGATATGGTTGAAGAACTTCATTGGAGACCTTGGAGTTGTGCCAGCCATAAAGGAGCCTATGGAGATATTCTGCGATAAGGAAGGAGCGGTTGCCTTGACCAAGGAACCGAGGGATCATGGCAGATCTTGACATATCGACAGGAAATATCACTTTATTAGACATCGGGTAGAAGAGGGACTCCTTGTAGTGAAGAGGGTATCGTCATAGGATAACCCAGCAGATCCCCTTACGAAGGGACTGAGTAGGGTTAAGCACTTGCAGCACGCTAGGAGCATTGGGCTGAAGGACGATATTAGTTTAGATTAGATAGCTTCGAAACATTTAATAGATAAATTGTAATTAACATTTGATGATTAAATAAAGGTGTATTATTTATAAGTAAAGTTACTGTCTTGTGTTAATCATTTACCTATTGTTTCACTTTGCATGTTTTGACTTCCTGAATAATAAGATTATTCGAACAGTCCACAGTCGCTTATACTTTGGAAGTAGGTATGAAAGAAGATTGTCATGAATTGGTTTGTAGACTGTCTAAAAGTGTATTAGACATAGCAAAAGTTTGCTACAACGTTCATGAGTGCTTATGAACTAAGATTTGAGCATTGGAATAAACCCACGCTTGCTGGTATCGCTTCATGGAATTTATCACAAGTGATTGCAAGACGACAATATCATATAATATTTAAACCTATATATATGGTCTATTGTTTGCAAGTTGGTTGTGCATTGATAATGCGTAAACGCATGAGTAACTTGATGTTATAAAACACATTGTTGTGTATGATTTGATGACTGAATAGTAAATGCATATAAGTCAAAGTTTATCTGTTCCTTTTATCTTAAGAGGGTAAAAGCGATATCTGGGCCCCTCGATTATTTGATTTGACTTATGTGTCGGGCCAGGTCAGGACTGAATTGATGTGTTCAATTAAGTCATATGTCATACGAATCAGAGATCGAGAAACAAACAGCTGGACAATAAGTATGACTATGTTCCATGTATTTGTCCGCACGATATCTAGAACGGAGGATTATATGATCCCTTATCTAAAGGACAGGTTACTGATAAGATTAGAGTTCGACAACATCTTTGAGAGCTATGATTGCTAATCGGATCCTGAAGTCGTACTTGCATTTTTATTTACTAGACTTATCCAAGTGGGAGACTGTTGGATTAGTGTCTAAGCCCGTAACTATTTTTGGTTTGTACTTGACCCGGTTGTGCATGGTCCTTTTGGGTTGCCTTCACCAAAGCAAATGGACGGGATGATTTATGGAGAGAGAGAGGTTATTATGGTTTATTAATATATTATATGAAAAATATATTAAAGGAGAAATCATATAGTTTAATTAATATTGGTCAAGAATTAATTAAGAATTAATTTTGTGGCTAAAAGAGATTAATTAAATAAGGGGGACTGGAACTGTCAATTATAAGATAATTGATTTTGGAACTGTCAATTATAAGATTAATTAAATAAGGGGGACCTCCCGACTTGGTGAAGCCACCTAGTATGCCGAGCGTACTAGGGGAACGGTTAGCGTTCGCGGCCAAGTGGACTGTTGACTTTGGGCCGTCTTTGGGCTTTAGGGTGTTGGGCCTTTGTTGGGCCACAAGTCTTTCTGGCTTTGGGCCATTGTTAGGCTCTGGACCTTCTTGGATTTGGGCCCATGTTGGGCTTTGGGTAACCTTTCGGAATTGGGCCACTTTTAGGCTTTTAGTGCCATTAAGTTTGGGCCTCGGTTATTGATCCAAGTGAGGAAAGGGTAAAATGGTCTTTTACCCTGGGTGTTGGACAAATGAACTAGATTCCCCGTTATGGTTTATGGTCCAATTATTAATTGGGGTTTTATTTGATTGGTTAGCGCACGGATTCTCTGGTTCAGCAGCCGAATGTATGTGAGTTTGCTCACTATACTATAAGACATTAGGGATTGTATGTGCTTGTAGTCTTTGTGACTCTTGATGTATGTGTTGTATGCATGTGTGCCTGTTTTCTATATGTATATGGGTGAAATAGACCCGGCATAGCCTTGAGGTTGCATAGGAGTTGAAATAGACTCGGGGGTTAAACAGTCCCGGGGGTGAAATAGACCCGACACAGCCTTGAGCTGGCATAAGAGTTAAAATGAACTTGGGGGTGAAATAGACCCAGCATAGCCTTGAGCTGACATATATGTAAGGTATGCGGTACTTTGGAGAACTCACTAAGCTTCGTGCTTACGGTTTTTAGTTTATGTTTCAGGTACTTCCGGATCAAAGGGGAAGAGCTCGGGATGATCGCATCGCACACACCATGACTTTTCACTTATTTGACTCTGATGTGTTTTGGATGATTATGAATACATTATGATTTCCCTTTGGTTTTACTAAAAAAATTTGGTTGATGTTTTAATTAATAAGAAAACAAAAAAATTTGGTTTTGAATTTTGAGACGTTTCAGATAGATTGGGTCTTATGTGTATGTCCCAAATTTCAAACCAAAATTTTCATTTAAAACTAAAAGCATTTGTTCCAATTACAACTTCAAAGATCCAAATAAAATCGTTTGATTCAAAATATTTTTCAAAGTATAGACATAAGAGTTATTAAGTGCGGACATCTCCAATGGATGTGATGCAATTAGGCCACACCCTTCCTTCAATATAAGAAAACCTGAAACAATTTAAACGTAAAACCGTAAGTATAAAGCTTAGTGAGGTCCCCCGAGATACCACATACCATACATAATAGTAATGGCCTATTTCAGCCAACGGGTCCGTATCAACCCTACAGCCTATTTCAGCCATATGAATGTTATGATCCAACCATAGTCTTACAGTCACTTCTGTTGCTACAACCCAGTTGTAGTCTTGTAACGTCCCAAAAGTTACAAAGAGAATTTTTATTTGAAAACAGATTAATCGATCAAAACCTTCAACTTAAGAACCATAAGTGACATTCATTTGTTTGGAACCAAAGTGTTATCAAAGTTGAATTAAAGGAAAGCAGAAATCATTATCTTCGATGCGTGTGTATAGTCCTGTCGAGCTCTTCTCAAGAACAACCTGTAAAACATTTAATCCACAATTGTAAGCATAACGCTTAGTGATATCTCCAGTATAACACATACATAATGTCACACCCCCAAACCAAGGATGGCGGAAACGTCCGGGGGTGGAGGACTTCATGTATAGTATCATAACAACAATTGCAATAGTGATCAAAGTAAACACAACCAACATAAATATAATTGAAAAAGTTACACCATAGTATGAGTTTACATGTTTCCAAATCAATTACATTATGTTGACAAAAAAAATGAAATGTTTGACGCCTTACGTCCCATCCTCAAAAGCACTTGGTTACCTGTTTATTGATTTCCTGAGAATACAAGTAGTTTTTGAAAGAGTGTCAACAATTAAGTTAGTGAGTTCATAAGCTTTTGAAGGTGATGCTAAAATCCTTTTTTGTAAAAATTATGTTTGTTCAAGAAAGATCCCATATTTTCTTATGTAATGCATTATAGTCTTAAAAGTCAAAACCGAAGTATACAAGTATTTTACCATACTTAAAGAAATTTATGCAAGTTTAAATCGACATAAACTCGTTAAATTTAGAAGTAAAACCCGTAAATCTTATGTTTTGTTAATACCACATGTGAGTTATTATAACCATACTATGACTCAGACGGCCTCGTAATACGACGTTCTTCAGGCGTCGCAAGTTAAATGACACTTGTCACCGCAGACCTGCCGGTCTAGCTGTTGCATGCAGCTCAGGTGTGGGTTTGTCAGACCCAATATAGATCTATACACAACTATCACGTTCTCCTTACAAGAGACTCTGGTTACAATTTACAGGACTTTTGATTTCGTTACTTGGATGTAACGCGAAGCGAATGTCTCGCAAATTTATTCATTAACAGATTTACATGAATTGAAAACCTTAGGTAAAGAGTTTGAAATGTAATGAAACATAAATTATACCTATTATAGTTTATTATAATCGTTTATAATGTAAAAGCAACATAAACTATATTTCCATAGTTTATCAAATGATTGTATACAATGGATGTAAACTTTGTTTATAACAATTAATTAATTACCATACTTGCGAAGGTAAAAATCCATTTGTTTTCTGATGTATGTCAACACACCAAGACGAAATGACATATAATGTAAAAACATATATTCACATAATGATACACACCTTGCTCAACAAGTTACAAGGTGCAAATGAAATTGATAGCATTTTTCTAGTGTTAACATTTCTATTACTGTTCTTAGAAAATTTATAGAAAAATCATAAAAGGTCCAAATCAGAATCTGTAAATTCTGAGAGGTTGGAAAATGAGTCTAGTTTGTTCATAAATTTTTATTATGATTTTTAGTGACCTCCAACTTGTGTGAAAAAGTCCATAATCACAGACTGGTCCGAATTTGTTCTTGAAATGATAGGCAGTTTTGTAAAAATCACCATAAATTGTAGAAAAATCGTATGGAGATGTGCAAGTAGTCATTTTAAAGGTATAAACCTGAACTATAAGCACCTAATACAGTTTTGAAAACTAAAATGTTTAATTTGACCAAAACAGTCCGTGAATGGAGTTAGACTTTTCTGATGAAAGCTGTTGAATGAGTTTAGTTGTGTTCTTGGCGTTTTAACTTGTATTCCCCCCTTAAAACTTAAGAAAAACGTGAAAATATAGGAGTATGAACTCACCTTGTGTGTTCGTAGTGGATGGATTTTGAAGAAAAGGAAGTGTTCAACTCAAGAACACTTAGAAGATGCCTTGAAGGTTCGAAGATCTAACACAAATGTGATGGAATTTGTGTAAGTAATCTATGATTTGGGTAGAAGGAAGTGAAATAATCATAAGGAGGATAATATCACTTACCAAAAGTGAAAGAAAACTTGATGATCAGCCCTTGAATCACGAATTTGATAGAGAGAGAAGTGAGAGAGAAAGGTGTTTGTTCTTTGGTGGAAAATGAGAGAAATGAGAGAGGAGAGATAATGATTCTACCTTTTGTTCAAGTGTATGGCTGGAAGAAAATGATGGGAAAGACGATGGAAGTGACTAGGTATGGTGGAAGGACAAGGGTTGGTCATGGAGTGGGCATGGGGTGGTTGCTTGTGTCATACA